TTGGGGTTTAGGGTTTATGGCTTTCGGGTTGGTTGTTGGTTTAGGACTTTGGTTTTTTGGTTTAGCACGTTGGGGTTTAGGGTTTGGGACTTGGGGCTTGGGATTTAGGGACTTTCGGGCTTGAATCATGAGGGTCTTGTGGGCGTAGTTGGAGCACGGGATTTCTTGGTGTTCGTCAGGTCTTTTGTTAATGCCTTGAAATGCAACAGTCTTTACTAAGGGCCTTAGTTTAGGGGTTTGTTGTTTCGAGAATCGGTCCTTGCCGATGCGCAGGCAGAGAAGACCTACAACTTGTCGCGAGACATGCGGTGCCCTGGTGTTGCAAAAGGGCTTTCGCACGGGGTTTATGGAACTCAGGAGTAGTCCTGGTACTGGAGACAGGAATGCTTGCGGGGAATACTCGACGACAATTTCAGCCCTGACCCGGATTTTCAGCATTCTGCTTGAGGCAGAGGGGCCCGGAGTTTCGGGGTAAGAGACCAACCTCTGCGAGGAACTTGACAGTGGTAGTAGGAGGCGTACGTCGTAGGTAGTTGTTGGTAGTAGGTCTTAGGTTGTAGGCGCAGTAGCGGCAAAGCTAGCATTAAGGGGCAATATTTAACTGACGATAGCCGCAGGAGTATGTTTTGCCCAGAGCTTGACACCCGAACCGTCCCTGTGCTGAGGAGCTCACTTTCGGAAGTCGTCTCCATCATTCGGGTCTGCATCGAGCGGAGCGTAGCTCCTTGAACAGCACGGCCGAACTGTCCCTAAAGGCTAGGGCATAAGCCCTGAACCCTGTATCACAAACCCAAGCACCCAAAGATCCGAAACCCCGAGCTCCGAACCCCCCTAAACCCTAAACCGAATCGAAAGCATGAGCCCCGGCGGGCAAGCATAGCTTGTCAGTGCTGCAACGGCAGCTATCAAGAAAGGTTGTTGACGGAAGCCTATGCATGTGGACCACCTTCCCCAAAACCTCTACGTAATCCCCACCCCTAGGCACCCTAAACTCTAGACCATGAACCTTGCATACTCAGCAGCCCCTTCTGACACAAATCGAGAGCCCGAAAGTCTTCCTCCAGTCCCGACAATCTCACAGGAAGATGTTGTGGCGGTTGGAGCAAGCATGCATCGCATCCCCTTAAAGTCTGTCTTTAAACTTCGTATAAACAATCCAAAAACTCTATTCCATTTCTTAAGGCCTCTTTGTTATCGTAGAGCCTCCATGTGATCATTGAGCCCACGTGTCAGACAAGCACGCCCCTAAAAGAATCCACAGAAATCCTCTCTATGCCGAGCTTTAAACGTAGGGTAATCTTAGCATTTTTTTACCGCGAGTCGTTTGGGGGTATGAAGGGATTGTGTCGTTGATACCCGACGCTCCCGGACTTTTTTTACGGGCATTGCAGGTCTTCCTTCTGCTGTAGCGCTTTCCCAAAGACCGCTAGGCCCCCGACACTTTTTCCAAAATCGAAATCTTGAACCCTACCTTCAGCTCCCGGCAACACCGTATTGCGTAACACACCAAAGCCTTTTCACCAAAGGTTTCGATACAACCCACTACGAAGCTCTACAGGCCCTCTGAACCCCAGACCCATTCAGGGTTTTGGAATTCGGGGCTCGAAGGTCCCCCCTGAAAGAGCACTTCTGCCCGAAAACCTTTCGGAATGCTTCCGAAAGATGCCTAAACCCTACCTGCCTCCGAAGCCCAATCCCTAAGCCCTAATGCATGATTCTTGCTTCCTGCATAGACTTGGTGACCTTGCGAGGCTGTTTCTTGATCGAAAAAAGTTGGAGATCTGAGTGCTCTGTCTAGGAGTTAGGGCCCAAGGCTCCTGGCATTGCAATTCTGTAGGCGTACTCATTCATCATCTTGGCATTCTAGTGGGTTAATCTTCTTTTCGGTTCCACTATTCACGTAGGTTATCAGCCGTAACCTGGCTTAGGTGGGCTATTTGACTAAGGTGTCTAGTTTATCCTAGGTAAGGTTTGTGCGCTTCTGGTTCGTGGCCATGGATACTCTGACCCGTAAACGGAGAGGTGCAGGAGTTAGCGAACCTGAAGAGGCCAGTGGGGCCGCGGAAAGGGAATATGAGACAGCCTTGAGTCAAGCAGAGCCTAAGACCGGCTCTGGCGGCAGCGTCAGTGGGACCTTGCTGAATGGCGTGGCAGGTGGGGATGCGTCCCCAGGGACTCTGGAGTCCGGGGAGGCTCGGGCCCGTGAACAGGCCTATCCGTTTCCTTCGGCAAGTCCATTTCACAGCGATCGAGTGAAGGCAGAGGTCGAGCTCATAAGGACTCGACCTGTGTCTCTGGATGAAGATGCCAGGAAATTTACCAAAGAATATGACGATGCTGCCTTGGGAGATGCTGCGGGAACCCTTCAACAGGAGCCAGACTATGCTGCGCTGACAGGTGACCATGGGGTGGTTCGAGACGCTCCGAGAGTGGCTCGAGTGGAGCCCTCTTCTGGTGACCAAGGTGTGATCAGGGGGGCTGAGGAGCCATTTTTGGCTGCTCCTACCAGTGGGAGTGGGAGTGCGCCGAGAGGCCCGGCAGGACTGGGGTTGACGGAGCCACAAGCAAGCACCGTGGAGATCGAGGAGGCAGCTGGTGGAGATGAAGATGTGAGGGAGCTTATCCCGGCTGAGGATCGGTTTGAGAGAATGGAGGCCCTCCTTCTTCAGGTGGTTGAAGAAAACCGTAGTTTGAAGCGTCGCTTGGACCAACAGATTGAGTCTAGGTCCCATAGCAGCTATCATAGCGGGGTTGCTACTGCAGACCAGGCCTTCTCCCCTGCGACCTTTGGTCCAAGAGTGGATGCCAGTGTACAGCAGTTCATGCCGGTAGATTTCCCGGGTCAAGGAGGTATGATGGGTTCGGGTTTTATGGGTCTGATGAATAGGTGGGATGGTGCTCTTCCGGGGGAATCAACATTCTGGGAGGGTGCCAGGCCAGAGGCTAGGACTCAAGGAAGTGTTTCTGGGTTCCCTTGAAGGGGTTTCGGGGTTGCCTTGGAAGGTCCTAAGGCTCCTTCACTCCCCTTGCCCTTGCCGCCTATCCCACCTAGGGCCAGGTCCCCGGAACCTGAACCTCCACAGACCATGAGGCAGTTTGCTGAGAGTGTAAGAGTAGCAGAGGCTTCTCAAGGAGCCCCGGTTTCAATACGCCTAGGGGCTGCACATCGGTAGGACCTGCCTTTGACTCACAGGGTTATCCTTTGTCTCCTGGTGGGACGGTGATCCGTCCGCCACCTTTGCCGATTGCGCCGGCGCCGATGACGTCGAGAAGCTTCGCAGGTGCGCCTGGGGCTGACAGTTCAGGGCATAGGGTTTCGGGAGGTTTGGAATCCGGGTTGCGGCCGGAGGAGCCTGCCAAGTATATCTCGGAGTTGCCTAAGTTAGCCTCGGCGGATCTAGCAACGTCGGCTATTGTGTGCGGAAATTGGTTGGCTCAGGTTCGTCAAATGTTGATAGGGTTATCTCCTAGTGCGGGAGTTTGGTGGCAGGGGGTTTAAGGCCCAGTGAATGTTGCTTACCAACGGTGGTTAGTAGCTGACCCCTTAGGTAGGCTGGCGGTGGACCCTGCGAGCGTTAAAGGGGAATATGACGAGTACCTGTATGGAAGGGTTGAGAGCCGCGCGGTGACGTTGTTGTTGGCTGCGATACCAGCGAATGTACGAGATGATGTTGTGACGAATAGATGGTTGTCTACCACTGCTATTTTGTTTCGTATTTTTTGTTTGTTCCAGCCTGGAGGAAGTAATGAACGTGCTCACTTGTGAGCTCAGTTGGTTAACCCCGAAGTATGTAAGTCGTTTGCCGAGTGTATCAAGGTTTTGAGGCGGTGGAACCAGTCGTTACAGCGCGCCTCGGAAATACACGCGACGCTCCCCGACCCTTCGTTGCTGTTACGCGGGGTGGATGCTGCCACCGGTGGGCTTTTGGCCTCGAATCAGATGGTCGGGTTTAGGGTGAACTCCTTCAGGCACAGGCTTGGTATAGATTACAATCCTACGGTTGCCTCGGTATTACAACTGGTGAAGCTCATCCAGGCGGAGGCGGAGGCTTCTTCTATTACGTCGGAGGGTAACCAAGATAAAAGGGCGCGTGCTGCTGCTGCTGCTGCTGCTGCTGCTGCCGCTGCTTCGCCAGCTACTGGTCCTGCTCCAGGGAGGAACCCTCCTACCGGTAAGAGTGCACCCGTCTTGCCTCCCCCACCCCCGCCGGCGGTTAATGCGGTCAGTGGTTCGGCTAGCGAGGGTAAGGATAAGGGGAAAGGAAAAGGAAAGGGTATTGACGGGGATAAGCCTCTTTGTCATAAGTTCACCGATGCAACGGGGTGCCGGTTTGGAGACTCCTGCATGTTTAAGCATGATAGGGCAAAAGCTAAGAAAGACGGTAGGTGCCTGGCTTGTGGACAAGAGGGGCACTTCCGTTCTGATTGCCCACTGGTCTCCCCAGAGAATCGAGGATCCCAGGGTGAGTCTAGTCCGGAATCGGCTAAGGCTTCGGGCTAAGGAAGGGGGGTTGCTGCTAGGCCTAAAGGTAAGGCTAAGGCGGGAGCCCAGGCAAAGAGGATCACGGAAGATGCAGATCCGAAGCCGTCCTCTGCTGGTAGCTCCGGTGCTTCGGTGTCGAGTGCGAGCCCGATTGTGAGCCAAGAGGCACTGGTGGCTGAGGCTACTAAGCTACTTAAGGGGGTTGCCTTGCGGGCTATAGGAGTTGAGGAAGGGCCTGACTGGTCGTGGGTTCGTTCTGCTCTAGCCAGCGCCTCTAACCCTGAGTACTGTCTGATTGACAGTGGCGCTACCAACGCGCTGCGACCTGCAGAAGCCGACGAGTTAAAGGCAGGAAAGGTGATTCGAGTAGATCTGGCTTCGGGTACCACAGAGTTGAGGATTAACGAGTTTGGCACCCTTCTCCATGGAGGCCAGTGCCAGGTCATCCTTCCTGCCAGTTACCTTGTAGACTTGGGATATTCAATCTCCTGGAAACGGAAGGGATGCACGGTGAAGCATCCTAAGCAAGGGGGGCTACAAGTTATTGTGGTTAAAGGGTGTCCTTTGATACCAAGGGAGGTCGGTCTTGGTTTGTTGCAGGCGTACGAGGATAAGAGGGCTGGGAGGCCGGTTCTGAGCAAGGTAGAGGTTGAGGATCTGGGGTCTGGTTTGGTTGCTGGGAAGGCCAGAATGTGGCTAAGGGAGCGACTGCAGCTTCGGTCCGAAACTGGGATATCAGAGGTGGACCAGCTAATTTTTCTGCGGGCTATGTTCCCGCAGGTGCCGCTGAAATCTTTAGCCCGGGCCTGTGCGGTGACGTTGTCATCAGAGAATGTTGATTGGACTGAGCTGCCTTGGAGTCGAAGACTTCGTAGGTCAATTGACCGAGCCGAGGAAGGTTCAGTTATGGTAGCTGTGCCGCCATTTTCCGGGACTTGGAAGGGAAATGGAAGAGTGTTGTCGGTTGCAAACTCTGATAAAGGGATAGGGTGCAGGTTGGTGTTCCAGGCACTTATGAAGTGGGCCCACTCAGGGGTGATTGGGGCTTTGGTGAAGGGTGCTGAGGGCTTTACTTACGAGCTCTATGGAAGAAGCTCAGGAGCTTGACGAGGGGGAGCTTGTTAGGATGTTGAGGTTCTTCTCGGTTTATGCTGTTTCCCAGGCGGTTAGGGATGGTTGGAGAATTAAGGAAGAACAGGCGCAGGAGGATTGGGATGTAGACCCCCCCACTAAGTGCCCTAAGCGGTGCCCCCAAAGAACCCCGGGGTTAGAGAGCCTCGAATCCGGGTCCAGCGAGGGGTGTTCGGTAGATACAGGACCCCATGGGATCTTCGTGGCGTTTGGGCCCATGGCCTTTAGGTCAGAAGGAAGGCTTGTGGAGTTGTCAAGTTTTTTGGTGGAGGAGTACCAGCTCAACGAAGCTAGTTTGGATCAAGGGTGCTTAGGAGCTCCAGGAGTTTACAAGACCAGGTTGGTAACCTCGTCCTGGTTCCTCTACGAGGCTATTCATGAAGTAAGGGTGGACCCTAAGATGAAGGCGGCGCTGGAATTACTCCAGGAGCAACAGTTGGGTTTCTCTCTTGCGGAGGTTGGCTGGGTAGGGAATCTGTTGCATTTGGTGCAGAGGGCTTGGTTGATGTGGAAATGGGAGCAAGGGCGTTATAAGGAGGTTTTGGAAAGGCGCCTGATCCTAAAGAAGCTTACGGAAGAGGAGGCCTATCGTAGGCATCTAGATCATGATCATGTTCCTTACCGTAAGGGGTGTCCTATATGCATTCAAGCCCAAGGCAGGCAACGTGCGCATTGGCGTAGTGGGTTTCCGGATATGCGCTCGCTAAGTGTAGACCTGGCGGGACCGTTTATTTCGGGACAGTCTTGGGATGTAGAGGCCAGTGGGCGAGATCGGGGCAAGGGGTATAAATACTTCCTCGCCTGCGCTTATGCGGTGCCAGATAAGTATGTACCTGCTGCGCCGGTGGAAGATGATACTGCCGAGTATGCACCGTCAGAATGCGGAGAGTTGTTATCGGTGCCCCCTGATGAAGCTGGTCTCAGTGCTCCAGTAGGGGCTCCGGAGGACGATCTGTTCGGGGACCTTTGGGAGCTTCCGGTGCCGGGGTTGAATGCGGTTACTCATAGGGTCAAGGGGAAGAAACCGGAGTCTGGAGCAGGGGCACTGGGATCAGCAGAGTTGCCGGATGCACGCTCACCGGCTAAGTCCGGCGGGGATCCTGGGCCGTGTGCTTCCTCAAAGGGTCATCGTACTCTGTTCTTTGGGGTTCCGCTTCGGACTAAGAAGGGTAAGGAGGTGCTACCTCAGGTTCAGGGGGTGATAAACCGGTTGGAAGCCGCGGGGTTCCCTGTTCAGCGTTTCCACGCCGATAGGGCAAAAGAGTTAAGATCAGCAGCTCTCATCAGCTGGTTAAAGCAACAGGCCATCCATCCGACTTGGACGGCAGGGGAGTCACCGGCCGGGAACAGGGCTGAGTTAGCTGTTCAGAACTTGAAGGGGTTTGTGCGGAAGCTCCTTTATATAGCGGATCTTCAGAAGTCCTTTTGGCCTTTAGCATTGCATCATGCGTCCCTTCGAAATTGGGTTGACTTCTGTGAGGTAGCAGGGGTGGTGCATCCTCCATTGCTGCCCTTTGGTCTGAAAGTGCAGGCTAGGAAGCGGGTTAGGACCGGTTTCGAGGCGCAATGGGAGGCTAGGACAATGCCGGGCGTGTACCTGGGGCAGGCTCCAAATACACCTGGGGGCCATTTGGTTTTAGTGGAGCAAGGAGATGAGCACAAGGTGCTTCTTACCAATACCGTGTATCCTGTGGGTGAGGGCCCCAAGGGTGTTAGAAAACCTAAGTATCGACTGGTAGGGAAGCGCTCCCCTCACTTTGCAGTGAGGGTGTTAGCAGCTCATGAGCTACTGGGTCGGCAATCGGTAGCGAGTGCCAGGTCGGGACCTGGGGGGGAGTGCTTGCATAGTTTTTCGACGGAAGATGATTTTGTGTGCTTGCATTCTGCTCCTAGTTTTTCGACCGAGGGTGATTTCGTAGTGATTGGAGATGATTTGGACGGTTCGGAGCCTGAAACTGATGAGAATCTAACCTATGTCGAAGAAGAAGAGGCTGGGTCTGGGTTCTTCTTTGAGGTAGGAGGGATTTTCGTTGACGAAGAACAAAGGGTGCAGGCCCTCGAGGCTCCGTGTAACCTCGCCGATGAAGAAAAGGGGGAAAGGACTAGCCAAGCTTGTTGGGAATTACTTGAGAGGGAGCTTGGAAATCTGCCTGTAGCTAAAAGGCCCATGCTTCAAGGAAGTGGTCGAGCAGTTTTGCTTGGGCTCTACGGGGTTGGAGGTTTCAGGGGGATTTCCAGGGCTACTCAGCTGCATCCAGATACCACCCGGTGGTTGAACTCGTTCGTGCGGTCTCAATGCCCAACCCATATTTGGACTACACTGTACGTATCCAAGAATACGAGGGCCCCAATGCATAGGGATTTGAGGAATGCTAAGGGTTTTGACATTTGGGTGCGGGCTGTAGGCGAGTTTACAGGGGGTGGTTTATGGATAGAAGGGGATTCCAATCAGGGTTGTGCTAGTCGTGTTCTTCCTAGTGGAGAGATGCGGTTTGGATTTGTGGCGGATATTAAGAGTGAGGGTGTTCTCTTTTCGGGTGAACGGTGGCATGCTTCAGAGGATTGGCAGGGTGAATCCCGTTGGGTTATTTCGGCCTTTACCCCTAGAGATGTAGGTTCGGTGACGGAACCGCAGTGGTCAGAGCTAGGTTAAGCTCAGGGGTAGTGTCTAAGACAGCAAGGCAGGTAGCTGCAGAGGCTGGTGGTAGCCCATCGGAAGTCTCGTGGCTGGTTGGGTTACCATTGCCGGTGATGGATGAGCGAGTGCTGCAAGGGTTTGATCATCTGCATCAGGCTACTGCGCGTTTGTCTAGGCTTCTCTTAGAGGACCTCTGTGAAGCAGTAAATACCCCTGAAGCCGTCCCTGAACTTGCTGCTCTGTTAATGTGCGCTGAAAGGGCTTGTGATTGGTTGGAGCAGTGTTTAAGGGAGGAGCGCGGCCTAGAATCCGCTGCTGTTTGGTCTCTCCAACGGGAGGTACCTCTATCGTCACCAGAGGCCCATGCAGACCAGTTTCTTCAAACTCGTACGGTAGGATTGTCTGAGGCCCGAAAGGAATTGGACAAATGGAGAGATCCCGCTCTTGAGGAAGTCGGTAGTCTTGAAGATGTCAATCGTGCAGTCGAGAGAGTAACTACGGCCGATGTCGATAAGTGGGCTGCAGAGGGGATTAATATTGTCCAACTTCCTGGAAAGGTAGTACTTACGAGAAAGTCGGGTACGGGTAAGAGGCGGTGTCGAGCAGTTTGCTGTGGCAATTATTTGCCTACTGAAAAGCTTGGCCTCACTAGGGATGATCTGTATGCTTCCGGGGCTGAGTCGCTATCGGTTAACGTAGCCCTCATTTTTGCCGCAGGGCACCCATCGTGGACGGGTGTCACGATCGATGTGAAGTCTGCATTCTTGTATGCCCCGATACGAAGCGAAGGTAAAGGGACTGAGGAACGTATCATTGTAAAGCCGCCTGGCTTCTTGTTGGAGCTTGGTATTATGACCCGCGAAGATAGGTGGTGGATACGAAAAGCTCTATACGGGTTACCGACGTCCCCCCGGGACTGGAAATACAGAGATGCGGAATTCGCTAAATTCCGACTAAGCTGGGGCGAGGATGAGTATCACTTGGTTCAGACGCTTTCGGACGACGCCTTGTGGTTAGCTCGTAAAACAACAAGGACGGGTTACGGCGATATTGAAGGTATCCTGGTCGTGTACGTCGATGACCTTGCGTTCCTAGCCCCAAGGGGGCTTGGGGAGGCCTTCGTGGCGGCAGTACAGGAGAGGTGGAAGACCTCCACCCCAGAATGGTTCAGTGAGAGGCCCTTGACGTTTTGCGGTATGGAACTATCTCAACATGACCACGGATATCGCATGAGTCAATCTGCGTATGTGCGCGAACTGTTGGGGCGTTACTGTATCGAAGAGTCTGCGTCGACGCCGATCACCCGATGGGCAGAGCCAGAGGTGGGATCTCCGCCGTCTTCGGAGGAAGTGAAAGAAGCGCAAGCGATTACAGGAGCCCTTTTGTGGTTGTCTACCCGGACACGTCCAGATATCGCGTACGTGGTTTCGCGTTGCGGTCAGCAAGCGACGAAGTGCCCTGGTTTGTCAGTGAGCCTGGGGAAGCAGGCTTTGGCGTACTTGAGGACTACGGTAGATATGGGGATTGAGGTTCCTCATGTTGTCGGGAGTACCTTTTCGGATCATGGGTTGCTGTCGTTACCTAGGACGGAACGAGTGTTGGAGCTATATACGGACGCGTCGCACAGTCCGTGTGGAGGACGCAGCGTCCAAGGGATTTTCTTGCTGTGGAAGGGAGTCCCGGTGACGTGGGAGTCATCCCGTCAATCCTTCGTTACTTTGTCGTCGGCAGAGGCAGAATTGGTTACAATGATCTCGGGGTTGCAGACGGCGGAAGCAGTTTTGCCTTTAGTGCAAGAGCTCATAGAGCAGGATGTTACCATTTCGTTGCTAGCCGACAACGAAGCAGCAATCAGGGCATTTGACGCCGCGCCGGCTAGTTGGCGAAGTCGTCATTTGCGCATGCGTGCGTTTGCTGCGCGCGAACGTATTAGTGCCAACATTTTGCGTGTCACCCATTTGCCAGGACAATATCAGATTGCTGATGTAGCGACAAAGCCATTAGCTCGAGCCAGGATTCTGCAACTACTAGAGTTGATGAATATCCGTAGTCGGGTTTCGGAGTCAGCTAAGAACGCCCGAATGCTGAGTAGGGTTTCGTTGGGGGGCGCTCAAGCGACTAGCGTAGTAGCGCAGACCCTGGCAGGCTTGGCGTTACTGGCTCTGCTACCGCGAGCCCAAGGGCAACCAGCTGAAGACCGGCTGGACGTTAGCATTGAATGGTTGTCCTTGAGTTTTGGGTTTCTGGTTGCAGGAGTAGCCTTAGCCTGGGGCTGGTGGTGGCTATACGGCTTTGAGGTTTGGCAGGTGATGGACGCTGCTTTGGGTAGTCTTGGTTTAGAGGAAGGGTTGGTGGTAGAAGTGTGGCAAGTGTGCTCGTCCAGCAACTCTTCTGTGACCGTTGAAGGTGACAGGGCTCAGGTAAGGGAACTGCCAGGTACTTCCGTGCAAGAGGAGGAGGCTCAGGCTTCAGGAGACGAGTTTTCGGTACAGGAATGGGCTTTGGTCCAGGCCAAATTAGAGAGGGCGGAAAGAGAGTCTGGGTTGACTTTCGTACAGCGGGCCAGAGTCCGGCGAGCTGTTGCTGCGGGGGGTATTGTCAACCCTCCTACCTTTCAGCAGCGCTGTGGCCCTCTCCCAGCTTGGCTGGTAGGTCCAGACATTTCCACCGAAGTTGCATCTTCAGGTTCGGGGATCGGTAAAAGGGACCGGGTCTTCCTGAGGTGTTTGAGCAGTGCATTGGAGTGTTTATCTTGATGTTGGGGATGGCGGCGGAAGAGTGGCTGCTTCTCAGAGAGACTGCTCCTGGAGTTAGGAACTGGGTTGGCTTGAGAAGGGTTAAGGGTGTTCGGGAGTTGAGGCCTAGGAGAGACCCGCATTGAGACAGGAGGCTTCTTCATCTGAGGGGGCAGTGCCTTCAAATCATGCAGATTCCACTGGAGCACAGTTCAGGGGGAGTCCAGCGCCCTCAAATCAGGCAGATTCCAGTGCACAGTTCGGGGGGAGTCTAGTGGCCTCAAATCAGGCAGATTCCAGTGCACAGTTCGGGGGGAGTCTAGCGGCCTCAAATCAGGCAGATTCCGGTGCACAGTTCGGGGGGAGTCTAGGTGTGTCAGGAGCTGTAGCACTAGGGGGTCAGGCAAGTGGGTCCTTGAGTTCCTCGTTTTCGCAGGTTCAGAGGGGAGGTAGCTCGAGTAGCACAGATCCATGGCCAACGTTGTTTCCTGCAGGTGTCGCTGAGGCTCCTAATTTGCCGTTTCCGGAGGAGGGGTTGTCAACCGATCTTAGTTCTAGCAGCCACGGCATGGCTACTCACCAGGATGCCTGGGGAAGTTGCTACGAGGATCTTGTAGGGATTCCAGAGGAAACCGAGGATTTTCCTTGAGTGGGGACTTGGTGCAAGGTTCATTTCGTGGTTCCGCTAATGTCGGTAGTGGGAGAGACTGTTTTAGGAATGCTAGGTGAGCGGAACGAGGCTTGGTTTTTCCTTAGGGTGACTTCCAGTTCGATTAGGTGCGCTCTAGCTAGTGCGGTAGCAGAGGGCCTTCGAAGGGGCCCGTATACTGCAATGTTTCAAGGTGCTCAGTGGATGATGGCGGTTGAGGAGTATCTGCTTACCGGTTACCCGGAGTGTGACCCGACGGAGACTTGGGTTAGTGGAGTGGAAGTCTTTCCGTATGTGAAATGGGCACCAGGAATTACTGTGCACTATTTGTGGCGTATCTTTGCGATCATGGGAAGTAGATTGCTAGCATTTCTGGGAGATCGGAGGCCAGAGTGGGGTCGGCTACGCTCATCAGCTAGAGGGTTCCAGAGTCATGTACTGTATGCTGTTCTGGGGTGGCTTAGGGACACCAGTGTGCAGAGGGTAGCCGACGGGCGCTGCTCGTTTGAAGCTGCGGACGCCTACATCCTTAGCGGGGTAAGGGTTTTTCCTTTTGAAGAAAGAGAGGAGGTTGATGATGATCCTACAGTTGATGAGAGGCCAGTAAGGGGTTTAGCTTGGAGGCCGGACCCAGTTTTGAGACTTGCGCCGGTAGCTGATGCACTTTTGGGGTCGTCATCATCCTCGTCTGGCAGCTCCGAAGGGGATGAAGATTCCACTACTGAGCCGTCAGTGGAAGCGACGGAGGTACCAGATAACAGTGACGATGGCAGGGAATCATTGACTCAGGCGGTACTGCGCCAGCTTGAGCCTATGCCCGGACCAGTCGGTTTGACCTACGTTGCTCAGGATGAAGGTTTGATGGTTACCTATGTCGATGATGCATTCACAGTCCCGTTGCCAGGGTGGACTTTAGGAGAGGTAGGGACTGTTGTTCAAGGTCTTCAGACTGGGGATTGGGGCTTGTTTCAGGAGATGATGGAGGGAACTTCGGAAGGTTCCTTAGGGGTGTCCTCGGAAGGGGTGGCCCAGGAACCAAGGGGTTCTAGGAGGTGGAGAGAACTTCAAGGGTTTGGGTTCAGAGGAGTTTTCTTGTTTCTTTGGATCATGTTTAGCCTCCTGAAGGTAGCTGTGGCCCAGAAATCGAATGTCTTGGAAGTAGTGAGCCAGAGGGCTAGTTCTGAGGAGTCATGTAATTCTGTAGCCCTCCACCTGTCCCCAGATGTTGTGGACCCTGAGGAAGAAGAGGTACATGGTTGTGATGGTTCGGTAATGTGGGAGGTAGCTAAGGCTTTGCTTACCGTCATGACCTGGGAAGCCTTGCGCCGGCTGTGGAACCGAAGGTTCTATGGTAGGGCCGTTCTACGGGACGCTGGTAGCCAAACGAGTGAAGATGGGGTGGTGTTGCTACCTTTGGGTTCTGGTGTTAGGTGTAGGTCTCGTATTTTGTTTTGTCTTTGGCGTGCCGGGTTTAAGTTCGAGGTGGACGCCTATCCGGAAAGGATTCAATCGGAGTTCTATCATTCAGTCGGGGCATACCTCTCTGGGCTCGAGGATGGTGTTGTCTCTGAGTCTGACTCTGATTGAGTTCTTCCTGGAGGACAGTCGATGGGGCTTTTAAGCCTTACAGATCCTCCAAGGTCTTTTCAAGATCAGCCAGGTATGAGAACGACCGAGGTTCAGGGTTGTCCCCCAGACAGTAGCGCTGGGCTTTTAGAAGGTAGGATCACTAAGTGACCTTAACCGGTGGATATGCCATAGGAACCTTGGTTGGTCTCGTTAATGATGGGATGCCTAGGGGTACGTATATCCAATGCCTCTGGAGGAGGCTCACTGTGTACAGACCAGTGTGGCGGAATGGTGCCTCAGCTTAGGCTTTTGTCCCGATTTCAGAAGGCTAGTAAGTGTCACAGATACAGGGGAAGCTGCGCTATGTGCGCTTTCTTTTCCAGTTGCGTTCGACCCTCAGTGGTTTCGAGGCCTCTTGGCGAGGTCCTCGAAAGGGGGAGTGCGTGATTCTTGCTTCCTGCATAAACTTGGTGACCTTGCGAGGCTGTTTTTTGATCGAAAAAAGTTGGAGATCTGAGTGCTCTGTCTAGGAGTTAGGGCCCAAGGCTCCTGGCATTGCAATTCTGTAGGCGTACTCATTCATCATCTTGGCATTCTAGTGGGTTAATCTTCTTTTCGGTTCCACTATTCACGTACCTAACACTAACACTATAATGAGACCATACATACATCGTAAACAAACCCTTGTTAAGCTTGGAAACGCATCCACAAGCTGTGCAGGAAACCCTTCTAAATCCATATGTAGTAAAGCTCTTCAAAAAATCTTTAAGCACACAGCCCGGTGGAGGCCTTGAAACACAGAGAAAGCCCTAAAACCCCGAACCCATCACGCCCTAAAACGACTGTAAGGCCCCATACATGGCCAAGGAAGCCCAGGCCGCTGAGCCCTAAGTTCGAAGCCTCAACTCTAGACTCTGGAATCTAGTGCACACTAGGGTTTAGGGTTTAGGGGCTTTGGAAGCCTAGAAGGACCCCACGAAGCCCGTCAAAGCCTTACGAAGCCCAACCCAAGCGCACCCTAGAACATCCTAGAACCCCCCCCCTTTCAGGCCCTTCAATCCCCTCATTAACGCCCTACAAGAAGAACCCTTCGGAAACCCAGGCCACGCAAGATGCTAAGATCAACGTGGATGTCTCCAATAGCCCGGCGGTGGTCCAGGCCAGAGCCCACATTCGGGAACACCCGGGGCCTCAGATCTTCTTGTAATATGTGAGGGCTCTAACTGAGCACATCATTTTTCCTCCGGTCTTTAAGCGTCGACGAGCGCTAGTACGGCTCCGGTAAATGGGTTTAGGGGTTTAGGGTGAGGGGTACTTCGCACGGGTGGGAGAAGCATGGCGATCCCAAAAGTTCTACTCGTCAGCATCAGCATCAGCCTCACCCTCACTCTCAGCCTCAGCCTCAGCCTCTCACCCTCACCCTCGCCCTCGCCCTCGCCCTCACCCTCACCCTCACCCTCACCCTCACCCTCACCCTCACCCTCACCCTCACCCTCACCCTCACCCTCACCATCACCATCACCA